CAAATAAAATTATTATAAATTAGAATTAAAGATAAATATTTGTAAAACTTATTCTCGACTATTGAACAAAAAAATATCGATTTCGTGACAAATATCTTAATAGGAAACCAATTGCGTGAATAACTTATGTAGAATGCCTAGTATTATTTTGACATGTATTCCAGTTCTCAACCATTCGTTGTTAATTTTTTATAAACGATTCAGATCAAAAATTAATTTTTTGCTCATACAATTTGAAACTTTGATCTACTCGATCGAATGAATATTGTCGGAAAAATCAAGAAAAACTGGAAAATTCATCGTTTTCTTTTTAAATTCATATTTTCGTTGTAAATATTGTAATATCTATAATCAAAGCCCAAATGCGGTAAAAGTTGTTGATTTTGTAAAAACTACTGCAGACGTTTCCCCTTTAATTATCGGCCTGTACCAAGGCTACTTTTTAAATAATTGATAATGTAAAACAATATGTATGTCAATAGAATAAAAAAGAAGAAATTGGATTTCCGGATTCTAGCCGTGTCATATTAATGCAATACAGTGGACTCCCGGTAATCCTACAAACTGTAGTATTGCCTAAGACTTACGATTTAGGAGGTCTAAAATATCACATTTTTCTTTAATTGTCAGTGTTTTGTGCTTTCGCTTCTGAGCTTGTGAACAAAATTATTAGATGCGAATACGTATTACACGTTGAATAAACACTAAACAATGAACACACGCTAGACCGCACCGCTATCTTCATCACATATAGTCAAATTCAAACTAAGTAATCACAATCAAAACAATACTCTGGTGGTGCGTACAAGTTATAACTTGTTCAATCATGCATTAACGAAGGTTGTCAAAAAAATATTCAATATATAATAAATAATAGACCATGTCGGATTACAAGGGGTGCCGCATTAGCCAGGGGCCGGATTATCGGGGGTCCACTGTATTTGAAGTCCAATATCACGAATTATGGTGACGTTAAAAGTGTTAGATGTTTTACAAGGGACACCTTCAGGAACTTTACGTTGTCGATGCAAGATCCCGAACGCTGTTCTGATACTGCATCGACAACGTTAAGTTTCTTCAGGAACTGAAGATGCCCCTTGTGATAGAAGACAAGATGTCAGACACTTTTGGCGGACCCATGATTCGTCATGGGGTCTGCAACAATAAGACCCGGCTAGAATCCGAAAATCTAGTTCCTTCAGACAACAGCCGTGAATCAACTTCTAAGCAATAAAAAAGATTCTGAGTTATGGATTTTTTTAAGCTACAGAAGTTCGATTGGATTATAAAATATAGTGAAGCGTTTATGAATTTGGGTCTAGATGAGAAAATGAAGACAGAAATTAACAGGATTTAGTTATAAGCAAGTAGTGCGCTTTTGGTTTACTATATATTTTTACGTGAAAATTCCTGAAATTTGATTTTCAGATTTGGTATAATTAAAAATTAAAAGGAATACTCACCCCTAATTACCACAAATAATTTTATTTGAGCGGGCACGTGTTTCGTCCACTTCATACGTGGACATTATCAACGCCATATTTGATAATGCCCACGTATGAAGTGGGCGAAACACGTGTCCGCTGATATAAAATTATTTGTGGTAATTAGGGGTGAGTATTCCTTTTAGTTTTTAATTAATATTTACCACAGTCTCCTGTTTCTAATTTAGATTTGGTATAGGTGCAATAAAATTAATCTACAAATTTATGTTAATTAGGTCGATAACTAGAAATCAAAAATGGTACTACATAAATATTAAACATTTCCCGCCCCCCAGGCTAATGTCAATCTGTAAAATACGCTATTCTCGCAAATATAACTGATGTTATACTCCTTTTGACGCATTGATAGTAAAATTTTGACACACAACGGAAATTGCATAACAGTATGCGATAGAGATTGCGTCAGAGGAAGTTGTGCGGGCGCCATGTAACTGTCAACAGCAACTGTCAACGACATCTGATGTCAACTGCAATCGGAAATATTGGCTAAATAAATGAATTATTAAAGGTGTATGTTTGGAGCGCGGCGCTGTACAGGTGCGAAACATGGACGGTGGGCACGGCGAAAAAGAAAAGTTTAGAAGCGTTCGAAATGTCTTGTTACAGGCGAATGATGAGGATACCGTGGATAGAGGTTAGAAATGAAGAGGTATTAAAAAGAACAGGAGAACAGAGGACTCTATGAAAGTCAATAAAAAATAGGCGAGATAGGTTAGTAGGACGCCTTCTCAGGCATGAAGGTCTAGTCATAGAGAGGTAGAAAGAGGAGTAGAGGTACACCTAAATTAGATTACTGTTCGCAAATAGTTAAAGATGTGGGTTTTTCTAGTTTTAGGGAAATGTGAAGATTGGCTCAGATAGGAAGGAGTGGAGGTGCGTGTCCAACCAGTCTAACAACTGACGACCTTTTGATAATAATGTAGCGACCACGAGCGTGATTGTGTGCGATCGGGCATACGTGTGTGTGAGCGGGTTATCGATTCGCCGACTAGCCGCGGGCGCCTTTCTTCATGTGCGCCGTATCTGTAAACGTGTGTCTCGTACATNTGTTTATCATAATAAAATGCTGTGCTGCAGTAAAAATTTATATGTACAAATAGTAATAATTCCACTTAAAAACTAGAGTCGTTGACTAATCGCTGCCGCTGATTTTTCCAAATAAAATTATTATAAATTAGAATTAAAGATAAATATTAGTTTAGTATTTATTGGACCTGGGTCGCACTGTTCTGGAATTATTTCACGTTTCTTCGAAAATTTGACGTTTGCAGTGTTTGGTTTTATTTTGAATATCTCAGAAACGAAATGACTTAGAGAGTTGTCGTTTTTACATTCCATTTCTTGAAGAAATTACGTATAATGTACAGGTACTAGATAGATACGTACATTATAACTAGTATAATATTTATCGATGCCAATTCTTACAAATTCAAATAGGTACAACTTTTTTTTTTTAATGGAAAGCCATTATTTTTTCTCGCATAGAATAATGCAAAATTAAATTTGTTTCGATTAATATAGGGGTCTTAGTATCTGTGACTAGTAGTTTTTGAGAAATTTGCATTTTTTTTAATAATTTTCAATAATATCGCGCTATCACGTTTAAAAATTTGGCGAGTTTGTCTTTTTTTTTAAAGAAATGTGAGTTTATTAATTTATTGTTAAGTAAGGGTTACTTAATTATCTGTAAAAACAGTAGTAGTATTATAACTAAAACAACACACAATTTTTTCAAAAGAATCAGAAACGGAATGTGAGAACGGTAACCCTCCAAGTCCTTTCGTTTCTGGGAAATTAATATGGCGCCAAACACTGTAAACGTTAAATTTTCCAAGAAATGTGAAATAACTCCAGAACGGTGCGACCTAGGTCTAATAAATATTAATAAACTGACATTACTTTATTACTAAGGGGAATTCAAAAATGCAATAAAAAGTAGGGGGTTCTATTTAAAATAACGAAATAGTTTTATCTACTACTTTGTATTTAAAATTTCCAAAGGACCTCTCTTCTCTTTTCAAACCATCGGCACGTACGGAAAGAAAATCATTCCAGAGGGTCGATTAAATTCAGTTAATTAAGTTAATTCTTTTGTTTAATTGTAACACTCATAATTTTGATTGATATTAGCAGATTTATTTTTTATGTCAATAANTACGGTGGTTTGTTAAAAGTGCGTGTAACATTTCAGTTAATAAACTTAATATTAATATAGACTGTAGGCAATTTTTACAAAACAGCGTTAATGGAAAGTATAGTAAAAGTTAGAAAGTTAGTAAGAAGAAAAATAGTAAATAATTGACGTTGTTTCGGATAGCTATTTCTCTTGCTTACTTCTGCTTGACATTATAATTATTCGGTATTGTTTTTAGAAATGTAATGTGCTTCGCATTTTTCTCAAATAAATTTCATAAATATTGTTCTTTAGTGACGATTGTAGAATTAACTTCAAACGTTCCTTATGATGAGCAGTCTCTCATGAGAACAACCCTTCGAGATGTTAACCATACGCGTTAACGAATAGTTAAGTGATAATGATTTTCCTGACGATGCGACAACATCAAAATCCAAGTCAGTTTAGCGAAGATCACGTATATATGAAATATTTATTTAACTAGATCTCACTGAAGACACAAACACTCAAAACATGAACTTAACTCCACGGTAAAAGTTTGTTAAAACGAATGAAAATATTACTTTAGCTCACGATACCTAATTATATGAGATATGTAATAGTGGTGCAGTCATGGGCAGAGGCGCGATTGGAGGTTAAAAATCACACTGTGGACTAGAAAGCCTTTTTCCATTACATCGCACTCTGAAGAGCGCGTGAAACAATTACTGACAGTACAGACAGCGCAGTAAAAATAAAAAATCGATCTCAAAATCCTATGCATTTTCGTCGTTCGCGTTTAATTTTAACCCCTCCACGTCTATTCTGACGTCACGATTATCAGCTGTTGTTAGCCATCTTTTAAGGCTTAGTCACATGCTCCGGATGTTCCGCTGCTTCCCCGGTGCTCTTCCCTCTAAACAATTCGAACATTTGAAGCAAACTATGAAGGAGCACCTTATGATCAGATGAACGGGACGTTAGGGGTAGATTGCCCGTAGAAGGAGCGGAGTATGGATGACAATGACAGCTGTCAAAGATGACTAGCAACAGCTGATAGTCGTGAGGTCAAAGTAGGCTCAGAAGGGGTGAAATCGAATGAAGGTAGCCCATTTGTTAAGCATCTTTTGCATCTTAATAGCATATGAGCTTAAAAAAGGGCAGTTATTTCCATATTGCAGACAAAAATGTCGTTTTTATTAATTCTAATGTGGATTTTCAGCATTTTTACCTTAACCACCTTCATTGATAAATTCTGGTTACGCCACTGTGACATAACAACGAGTTCAACTCGGAAATGTAGTTTTTACAGTAGAATCAAGAGAAACAAAAATGCTTACGACAACAGACAACACCTACAATATTAAAAATTTTCAACTCACCCTGTATCGAGGGCTTGCTTCGCTTTTCTTAATTGCATAATCTGAGATCGGTCTCCTATAATTGTGGGCTCTAGGCCTTAGGGCGGCATTTATATTAACAGTCTCTTTCTTTAGAATCCAGTTGTCGGTATTCTCGTCAAATTGGGCCAAATTCAACAACCGCGAACGTTCTTCCGCAGGCACAAAATTTTCTAACACAAGCAGTCTTCTGCGTAGTTGCCTGTTTAAAAAAAAAATTATCAAAGTTACAAACAAAATCAGCAAAAACTTTTTCATTTAATTGACTTACAGCGTAAGGTCCTCGTTAGCATCGACAAGCTCTTGCCGATTTTTGATGTATTCATCATGGCTGTCCTTGATCTCTTGACGAAGTGACTGTAGCCTGCCATGCAACCTTTTCAGTTTTTCTCGTTTGAATTCAACCTCTTGTTGAAGATTAGTGAATACTTGGCGGAGTTCTGTGTAATTTTCTTCTTCTGATTCGAGTTTTTGTTGCATTTCGATTTCACGTTTCTAGAAAGGATCAAGTTTTAGAAACCAAGAGGCCCATGTCCATAAAGGCTTAGATATAACAAAAAACCATTAAGAGAAATGAAAAAAAGTGGTGGAAACTAGCAGGTTACGAAAGATGAAAAAGAACAAGAAATTAACTACGAACAGTAAATTAGAAAAAGATACTGAAATATGTTCGACTAGCTAAAAATGTCTAGGAGTGAAGTATTTAGTTTATTAAGGCAGTTTTCTGGTTTTTTTTATTAATTAGTGTGATATGTTAAAAATTGTTATGAAATTGTATTAATCGTCATGAAAGTTTAACATATATATAAAAAAAAGTCGTGTTAGTTACATTATTTATAACTCAAGAACGGCTGACGCGATTTGCCTGAAAATTGGTGGGGAGGTACCTTAGAACCAGGAGACGGACATAGGATACTTTTTTTATCCCGTTCTTGTGGAACTTGACATAAAACGTGGTATAAGAAGACGCAACTGATGTAGAATAACAAAACGCATCTGACAGCAAAACGGAAAATTTATCAGTCAAAACATCAGTCTGGCCCAAGGCTCGGCAACCTTTTGAGTCAGAAGAGTCGAAAATTTGTTACCGGAAAT